CCTCCTGCGGCTGCCGCAGAGCCCCAGGAGGGAGGCCACTGTGCAGGTTAACACGGGGAATGGGAGACCCGCCTGAGGCTCCACCCTAGCCCTCAGCCATCCGTGTGGGAGTTTACTACCTGGTGACCCCGCTTGCCCATGCCTCCAGCTACAAAACAATTCAATTCCCTTTTTTTTTTTTTTTTTGGTCCAAAATAAAATCTCAGGTAGCTCTGCCAAAAAAAAAGAAAAAATGTGCATTTCTTTCCCGCTATTGCATCTACTTGTCACTGAAGTAGGGCAAATTTCTTTTGTAGTAAATAATCTGCCTTTGAATCAGCCAAGTCAACATTGCCATTGTGCTCCTCTGCTTAAGTGCTTTATTGATCCACTAATTTACAATTTATTAACTGAGAATTCAGGAATCAGGATTGTTAGTGAGTTCTTAATATCACCTTACACATAATTCTTGGTTTTGCAAAAGCTGGACTTGGTCTGCACTCTCTTTGAAAGGGCAAACTGGGGTTTCACATGGCGGTAAATATGATACAGCTATTGATTGCACTTTGTGCTAAGGATAAGAGGAGTGCTTCACTAAGGCATTGTGTGTATGTCAGATGACTGACTGCCATAAAGAGTAAGGGTATTTCAGGTAGTAGAAGCTGGCACCAAACATCTATGTAGGCTGCGTATAGGTATATAGTCGATTTATTTTAGAATAATATATTTTTGTTGATTTTTTCTAGTTATTTAAAATTAATACGTGGTCATTATAAAACTTTTAGAGTTATAGAAAAATAGTAAATTCACATTACTCAGAATCTCATTATCCTGACATAGTAATTGACTTTTATTGTTTATTTATTTATTTTGAGACAGGGTCTCACTCTGTCACCCAGGCTGGAGTGCAGTGGCGTGATCTCAGCTCACTCCAAACTCTGCCTACCTGGGCTCAAATAATCCACCTCAGCTTCCCAAGTAGCTGAGACCAGAAGTGTACACCACCACACCTGGCTAATTTCTTGTATTTTTATTAGAGACAGGGTTTCACCATGTTGCCTAGGCTGTAATTGACTTTCATTACTTTGTATCTTGAATAATTTGCTTTTGAAAAATCATTCTATTGAATATCCCATCAAATTTTAAATGGACTGCTTCTTATTCATAAGTGCAAGTAGAAGAGGGATTGACACAAATAATCCACACAGTGGCCAAATAAAAAGTAATGCAGGGCTGGGCGCATTGGCTCACGCCTGTAATCCCAGTACTTTGGGAGGCCGAGACAGGAGGATCACTTGAAGTCAGGAGTTCAAGACCAGCCTGGCTAACATGGCAAAGCCCCATCTCTACCAAAAATACAAAAAAAAAATTAGCTAGGTGTGGTGGCATGTGTCTGTAGTCCCAGCTACTTGGGAAGTGAGGCAGGAGAATCTCTTGAATCCAGGAGGCAGAGGTTGCAGTGAGCAGAGATTGCACCACTGCACTCCAGCCTGGGCAACAGGAAGTCTCAAAAACAAACAAACAAACAAAAAGTAATACAGGGTTGAATATCCCTTATTTGAAGTGTTTTGGATTTCAGATTTTTTAGGATTTTGTATTATTTTGCATTATATTGGTGGAGCAACACGAATCCAAAATCCACAATGCCCCAGTGAGCGTTTCATTTGAGCATCACGTCAGTACCCAAAGTTGTGTTTTGGAATATTTCGGATTTTTGATGTTCAGATTTGGGATGCTCAATCTGTATAGCATTTTTGCCTGTTCATTACCTTCTTCAAGTTCTCCCTCCTCTTTTCCTCCTCTTCACACAACTTCCCCTTCACTTAACTGCCTCCCTTCCCTACATCCATTTACAGAGGATTCACTTTCCCGAAGATGATTGCTTCTGGTGTTTCTCACACTATTTCATCAGTTACTCCTCTGGCAGCCAAGTATAAGCGTATTTCTCAAGAAGTCTGGGAATAGCCTTACAGTGTCAACCATAAGTCCAAAATTTCTTTGTATTCTCCTGGTTTATCTTAAAGGTTCATTTAAATTTTGCTTTCCAACTTCTTTGTGTTCATTGTATTATAAAATATTATAATAAATTGTCATACCTCTGTGTAAAATACTCCAGGAACCTGTGCCACATTGTCAAATCTCTTTAAATTCTCTCTGGCATATGGCTGCATCCCCTGGGGGATTACCCTAGTTTGAGAAACTTAGACTCTAAATGTAGATGAATTTGTATTTTCTAAGAATATATTATTAAGTAAAAGAAGGAGTCAGATGTATACTAGATTTTCAGAGATTATCAATGAAGAGATATGGGACATGCCTTTTAGAGGGAAGCATTGGAATCATTTGGAAGATTTTTTTCAGATTTTTCCCTTCTCCCTTTCCAGTTTGAGAATTACTGCCACAGTGAGTCCCTGTTCTGATGGGAAAGTGCTTTGTTCCCCAATGATATTGGGATATAAAAAAGAAGGAGAGGCCGAGCATGGTGTCTCACACCTGTAATCCCAGCACTTAGGGAGGCCAAGGTGGGTGGATCACCTGAGGTCAGGAGTTTCAGACCATCCTGGCCAACATGGTGAAACCCCATCTCTGCTAAAGATACAAAATTTAGCCAGGCATGGTGGCATGCGCCTGTAGTCCTGTAGTCCCAGCTACTCAGGCGGCTGAGGCAGGAGAATCGCTTGAACCCGGGAGGCGAAGGTTGCAGTGAGTGGAGATCGCACCACTGCACTCCAGCCTGGGCAAGAAAGTGAGACTCCGTCTCAAATAAAATAAAATAAAATAAAATAAAATAAAAATAATAAAAAGTAAAAAAAGAATGAGGGCTATTCAAAACACACACATATATATATACACACAGACATATATTCACACACTACATATACTGTATATACTATATGGATGACTTACAAGGTAATTTTTATTCTAAAATCTATTTGACTAACTGAATTAGAGTTTTTTGTTTTTATTATTTATCATAGCCAAAGATGATGTAACACATTCAGTTACCAGAAAAGTAAGTCCTTGACTTGTCCTGTTTCTACTATTCCAGTCTGAGGAAGGTTAGGATTTAGCGCCACCCTGCTCCCGAATTAGAAAATTATTTCGCTAGATTAGAAATGTTTTTCTCTAAAGTATCTGCAGAGCTCTGCCCAGTCTGACCATTTGTTCCCACTAGGGTGCCTTTAAGTGCCTCAGTGCTTTGAGCTCTCCTGTTTCTTTTGTTCTGTGTTCGCCGTCTTTCTGTCTACCGCTGCTGGTGTCTAATATCACCATCATAGTAACAAACTGTTTCTAATTTGAGGTCCAGTGCCATAGAATACATTTTGTAAGACACACAATATGATAGATGAAAGAAAATAATTCCATGATAGAAGGACATCTGACATAAAAACCATTTAGGATCATTTCTGTTGCAGCACAGTATAGACAGAGAATTTAGCAGTGGCAGTCTAAGTGCTCATATAGCAAGGCTCCCCTGGATGGGGATTCCACCTTCCAGGAAGCATGCATCTCACTCTGGGAGAGCCAGTGAGAACCTTGGTTTCAGAGTTAGGAGAGAGGGTCAGAGGTCCGGCACTTCAGTTCCCATATCCTAGGTTCCAGTCCATCTTTATTTCCTCCTTTGTGTTTTCTACAGCCCTCTACCTCTGACATTTGGAGAAGTCTAAGTTGTAACGTAGGTGACTTACATAAACAAAAATAGGACCCATAGGCTGGTATCTCTTGATATCTATATGCTGATGACACCCAAATTTATATCTGCATTTCCTATTCCTCCCTAAACTCACTGCTTTCCATGTCACTGCATTGACCCAGTGACTCAGGACAGAAATCTATGTCCAGTTCTTATCACCTTTACTGTTACCATGCTGGTTTAGCTGACAGTAATCTCTTAACTGGTCATCTTTTCCAAGTACCCTCATTCCCATCCCTGTTTATGGCATCTATTGACCACTCAATAGCTGAAGTAATCTTTTTTTTTTTTTTTTTCCATGAGAAAGGTTCTCATTCCGTCACTCAGGCTGGAGTGCAGTGGCACGATCTCGGCTCACTGCAACCTCTGCCTCCCAGGTTCAAGCAATTCTCATGCCTCAGCCTCCTGAGTAGCTGGGATTACAGGCGTGCACTACCACACCCAGCTAATTTTTGTGTTTTTAATAGAGACAGGGTTTCACCATGTACGCCAGGCTGGTGGAGTAATATTTTTAAAAACTAAATCAGACCTGTGTAAAATCCTCCAAAGCAGTGCTGATTTCAGGTCTGGGTAGGAAATGCACAAGAGGAATCTCAGAGGATAGGATACTAACAGTTCCAGAAATGATGAGGAGAGAATGAAGCTATAATTGTAAAATTGGAAATGGTGCCTACCAACAGAAACAATAAAGGTCTTTTATGAAATCCTTCTCAAGAACACCTCAAACTTTAGGAATTGAAAGACAAAAAATGAAATTATACAGAATATATATCAAACTAACAATATAAATCAAGCAACGTTTTGGTAATTTGTATATGGAGACACAAACATGCACACACATATTTTAAGAATTTTTTAAACCTACAAAAAAAAAATGGAGGAAAGCACAATGAACTTCTATACTCCCCTTACCTAGACACATCACCTGTTAACGCTGGCTACTTTTTTAGGAAAGAAACATATAAAAATGTCCTTGTTTTGTTTTGACAAATAAATGATAAAATAGATGGCTCAACTGAATGTACACTAACATAGACACTTATAAACAACACATATTCTTTAGCCAAACCATCTGAGAGTAGGTTATAGATATGTTGCTTCATTATGTATCTCTCAAAAACAGAAACATTCTACACAACTGAGAAAAATCAACATTAATTCAGTATCATCATCCACATATAGTTCCTATTCAAATTTCTCAATTTGAACCATCAGTTTTTAAAGAAAATCACATTACAAAATCATTTTGTGAGTCTTGTGTGCTTTCTCGTAGACTAAAGCGACTGTTTACTGTTCACTTACTCTAGTTTTCTTCTTTGTGGTTTAGCTTCTTACATCCGTGTTTGACAATAGCATCAAGACTTTTGGAGTAATTGAGAGTGACCCATTTGACTGGGAGAAGACTGGAAATGATGGCTCCCTAACAACCACTACTACTTCTACCACCCCTCAGTTGCACACTCGCTTGACCCCTGCTGCAATCGGGTATGTCCTAAACAGATCATTTGGTGGTGTCTTTCCTGGATGCATTATATTTGCAAAAATTTATTTCATCCGGATTCCCTCAGATGACCAAATGCTAAGACATCAGGGAAAGCCTATGGATCTCCTCGAATTAACATTGCTCTTATGTACGCCTTTGGAATTACTTGCTTTAGATAGTACTAATAGATTATACTGTGAAATGGGAGCTTAGAGCTTATGTGACTTGTTGATGTCAAATTTATAATGGGTTTTCTTCAAAATGAGGACCAGCATTAGTTGTATTTCCAAATAATGTATGGAACCCTGAAAAGAATGTGCCACAATTATATCTATACTGTGCCAAAGTTTAGTGGGAACAAAGTATATAGCATGTTCTTCTTAAAGTGATTTAACAACTTTCATAATGTATTAAGAAAAGGTTATGATCTGTTTCCGTGATCTTAGTTTTTTATTGTTAATGTTTTTTCCTCTACATGTATTAAATAGTTTCCTTTTATCTTTTATTTTGTCTTTTTTTTTTTTTTCTAATTTTTGGTACCTGCTTTGGTTGTTTTGCGAACCGTTTTGTCAAAACCAAACCAAACCCCAAAAAATAGTAAATACTTGAAATGCTGAGGCAGAAGGATCACTTGAGCCCGGGAGTTAGAGGCTGCAGTGAGCTATGGTTGTGCCACTACACTCTAGCCTATGCAACAGAGTGGGACCCTTCTCTGGGGAAAAGAAGTGAACAGGGACAAATTGTCATACAATTTAAGTTAATTGGGGATATTATACCACTAATCCATTGCTTTGATTTTTTTTTTTTTTTTTAACATGGAGTTTCATTCTTGTTGCCCAGGCTGGAGTGCAATGGCGTGATCTCGGCTCACTGCAACCTCCGCTCCCAGGTTCAAGCGATTCTTCTACCTCAGCCTCCCAAGTAGCTGGGACTACGGCCTTTGCCACCCACGCCTGGCTAATTTTGTATTTTAAGTAGAAACAGGGTTTCACTATGCCTGATCAGGCTGGTCTCAAACTCCTGACCTCAAGTGATCTGCCTGCCTCATCCTTCAAAGTGCTGGGATTACAGGCGTGAACCACTGCACCGCCTGATTTTTTTTTTTTTTTTTAAGAGATAGAGTCTGGCTATGTCACCAGGCTGGAGTGCAGTGGCTATTTGTAGACACAGTCATAGTGCCATATGGCCTCAAATTCCCGGGGCTAAGCATCCTCCTTCCTCAACCCTCTCTAGACTACAGACCCCCATGCCAACCCTTGGGTCCACTCTGATTTTTATACTGAAAGATGGAATCTCTAGAACTTGTTGAATCATCAGAAGAGTTTTCATAGACTCACATAACTGAATAGTATCACTGACTATCTTGTCTAAGCAGATGTTTTTTAAAAACACCTGTTCCTGGGACCTGCCCCAGACCTGTTGAATCAGAATGCCTAGAGGTGGGGCACAGAAGTCCATATGCATCAAATACTTCTCATGATTATCAGAGTTTGGGATCCACTGTCCTAGTCCAGTCCTATCTTACAAGTGAGGAAATAATTCTAACACTGAAGTAAATCCAACTTTAGGTAAATATTAGTGGCAGAGCTGGAACCAGTCCAGAAATTTTGTTCTAGTGTTTTTGTCCTTCCCCTTTGATTGTTGTTAGAAATAAGTCTCAAACTTGCAAAAATTCAGGTGATAGCACATCAGGGACCTAAAGACAATGAAGGCAGTTTATGTTCCCATCTTCCAATGTTTCCTCCAAAATAACACAGAACAGCAAAGAAAGAAAACTACAGCTACGCAGAAAAACCATGTCCTCAGCATAACTTGTAGAAGATGTCCAAGCTTCAAAATAACTGTAAATAAAAAGGAAAATATGAGACCACAAATCCTAGTGCAGTATCTTTCATGCTCTTGCCTCACCTACCCCTGCCAGAAGACTTTATAAAGACAGATCAAGAAAAACTGTGGGGAAGACGGAAATTAGCAATGGGATGTAAGGTTGATCTAAAACCAATGCCATACTCCAGGTGTCTTTCGATCCAACAATAAATACATAAAACCAGTGCTAGAAAGACTAAACCCATGCTAATAAGGAAAATACTAAAGAGTGTCCTGAGAGATCAGATGATGAGTTTCAGGGAAGTAAAAGTATGCATAATTCGAAAGAAAATAAAGGGAGAAGTGTGCTTCGTTAGTGGAGTGGTGGAGGAAAAAAGATGTATCAGTTTGGGTCCAGTCAGGAGACAGAAACTACACAGTAATTTGAATAGGAAAAAAATTAAAGAATTATTTAAAATTTTTATTGATACACAATAATTGTACATATATATGGGATACATGGAATATTTTAATACACACATGCAATGTGTTATGATCAAATCAGGGTCAGTAGGATATCCATTACCTCAAACATTTATCATTTCTTTGTGTTGGGAACTTTTCAAACCTTCTAGATATTTTGAAATATATGTGAGTATTTTTGTTTGTTGGTTTGTTTTTTTTGCGACAGAATCTCACTCAGTCACCCAGGCTGGAGTGCAATGGCGCAATCTAGGCTCACTGCCACCTCCACCTCTCGAGTTCAAGCCATTCTCCTGCCTCAGCCTTCCAAGTAGCTGGAATTACAGGGGTGTGCCACCACACTCATTTTTGTTTGTTTAGTAGAGACGAGGTTTCACCACGTTGGGCAGGCTGGCCTCAAACTCCTGACCTCAGGTGATCCACTTGCCTCGGCCTCCCAAAGTGCTGGGATCACAGGCATGCGCCACCGTGCCCAGCCTACGTAAGATATTGTTAACTATAGTCAATAATAGGAAATTGGAATAACATGGAATTGATTAATAAGAAATAAAGATAAATGTACAGAATACAGATACAGGAATAGCAGATACAAGGTCCAGCCACGATGCCTAGGACTGAGATTAAACCTCCAAGCAAGAGCTGTCCCACCCCTACTCAAGGGCTAAGGTTCAGACCTTATTGGGAGAGGAAGAAAGGAAATCAGAATTGATTGAACTCAGGAAAGAAATAGAAGGAAAAGACAAAATTATCTCAGAATTGAAGAATATGTTACAAAGTGCACAAAGAAGAATAGACTTAAGTGAAAATTTAATAGAAGTCATTGAATAAGGACAAGGAAAAAACCCGGAGAGAATGAAAATGAGATAAAGAAACAACTCAAAAGAGTTAGAGAGAAGGTAGTGCAAACTGAAGGCAGAGGAGAAATAACTTTCAGGTTGTTGGAGTGCCTGAAGAAGAAAAACAAAATAATACCAGTTAAAACTGAGAAACCGAATAGCAGAAGATTAAATTTAAAAACAGAGAACTGGCTGGGTGTGGTGGCTCACACTTGTAATCCCAGCACTTTGGGAGGCTGAGGCGGGTGAGTCACAAGGTTAGGAGTTCGAGACCAGCCTGTCCAATGTCGTGAAACCCCGTCTCTACTAAAAAATACAAAAATTAGTTGGGCTCGGTGGCTCATGACTGTAATCCCAGCACTTTGGGAGGCCGAGGTGGGTGGATCACGAGGTCAGGAGATTGAGACCATCCTGGCTAACATGGTGAAACCCTCTCTACTAAAAATAAAAAAACGAAATTAACCGGGCATGGTGGCGGGTGCCTGTAGTCCCAGCTGCTCAGGAGGCTGAGGCGGGAGAATGGCGTGAACCCGGGTGGTGGAGCACGCAGTGAGCTGAGATCGCACCATTGCACTCCAGCCTGGGTAACAGAATGAGACTCTGTCTCAAAACAAAGAAACAAAAAACAAAAACAAAACAAAACAAAAACACAAAAATGAGCTGGGCGTGATGGCGCACACCTGTAGTCCCAGCTACTTGGGAGGCTGAGGCAGAAGAATCGCTCAAACCCAGGAGGCAGAGGTTGCAGTGAGCCGAGATCGCGCCACTGCACTCCAGCCTGGGCAACAACATGAGACTCCGTCTCAAAAAAAACAAAAAACAAAAAAACCCACAGAGAACTAAGAGCATTTAAAAAGGTTTATATCCAAAGATAAGCATTAGAACAAAAAGGCGAACCTCCTGAAATACTCCCCCAAAATTATTTATAAATTAAAGTACAGGCCAGGCACAGTGGTTCATGCCTGTGATCCCAGTACTTTGGGAGGCCAAGGTGGACAGATCACTTTGAGCTCAGGAGTTTGAGACCAGCCTGGGCAACATGGTGAAACACTGTCTCTACAAAAAATACAAAAATTAGCCGGGTGTGGTGGGATGCACCTGTAGTCCCAGCTACTCCAAAGGCTGAAGCTGGAGAATGGCTTGAGCCCAGGAAGCAGAGGTTGCAGTTACCTGAGATCGCGCCACTATACTCCACCCTGGGCAACAGAGCGAGATCTTGACTCAAAAAACAACAACAACAACAACAACAAAAAACTGGACAAAGGATACATCTTGTAGAGGAAGAAATGTAGCAAATGTAGCAAGATACTGTACACATAATAATAAAATACTATGACAAAGCTTTCCCTCTATGTTCTCTTCTAGGAGTTTTATAGTCTCAGGTCTTAACATATAGGTCTTTTATACATTTTTAGTTGATTTTTGTGTATTGTGTAAAATAGGGGTCCAATTCCTTTGCATGTGGAAATCTAGTTTTTCCGGCACCGTTTGTTGAAGAACCCCATTTATTGGACCCCATTGTGTCCTTTTGGTGCCCTTGTTGAAAATTAGTTGACCAAGTAAGATATCTGCACTCTCGTGTTCATTGCAGCATTATTTACAATAGCCAAGATACAGGAACAACCTAAATACCCATTGATGGACAAATTGATAAAGAAATTATGTGTGTGTGTGTGTGTGTGTGTGTGTGTATTGTATATATTTGTATATATACACACACACAATGGAATATAGATGTATAAATACATACACACACACATAATAGAATATTACTCAGCTTTTTAATTTTTCTATGTTTATTTTTTGAGACTGAGTCTTGCCCTGTTGCTCAGGCTGGAGTGCAATGACACGATCTCTGCTCACTGCAACCTCCGCCT